GGTTTTTCTGATCAGATATTTGCTCATTTTCTGTGGATCATTTTTAGAATGACACTAGGAAACTATCATCTGGACTTGATGCTCCAACTACACTGGACTTCAGCCTTTGTGTTTTTATTACTGTCTTTCTTTATCTCTGTGCCACACTTGTCTGTCAGAAGGCATATAGACACCATTTCATATTCGGGTGCAAAGTCTCTGACTCAGCAAGCCAAAGTAGGTAGCTCCTTCTCCTTCCCCACTGCACTCAACACTCAGCACTTACTGGCTTCTCATGTCCAAAGAAACATTGGCAGCTGGAGTCAGTAGACAGGAAATACTGGCTAGACTCCCTGGGGAGTAGAATTAAGAGGCAAGAAGGCAAGAGGCAGTAGGAGGTTAGTTGGTTCTGCAGCTGAGAGGAAAAGAGTACCATCAGAGATAACATTACAAATATAATAACCAAGAGAAGCCTTTTTGAAGATAAGATTATTCGATGTCAAGTACACATAAAACATACACATATGCAAATTGGTCTAAGTATCGCTTTGTTTGGAGATCTTCTCATGCTTAGGTAAAAACAGGAAAGGCTTGTCCAAAAGCAAACACTTCCCTCACAAAGACATTGGACTCACTGAGACATCAAATTCTGGGGTTTCTCTTTGTGTTCCTGAGTCTCGATATAGTGTCTATCGTAAGTCTGCACTCCAAATATTGTACATGAAAAATGAAACGTTCAAAAGTGAATTAAGAAGTATTAAGTGTACAGACAATAATTTAAAGATTGACTTTCACACACAATACTTCGAATAATTAAGTGGAGATTTATCTTTGTTTATAACTATACTGGTAGCATTGGCACTGTTGAACACTTACATGAAAGGCTGAGGAATAAATCCAGTTATGGTGGAGTTTTATGTGGTTCTCCAAGATGACTGGAGTACGATATAAGCACAATTTTATAAAAATCAAAAACAAAGAACAAGGCAAATCACCAAAAAAAATAATAATTTGGCTTCTGAGGGAGGAAAAGTAAGCTTTAAAACAATTCAGGATAGCATTTTAAGGTATTTATTTATTTATTTATTTATTTATTTATTTATGTGTGTGTGTGTATTTTTTTTCTGGGTTACTGTATCTGTTTGCTGTATTAATCTGGTAGAGTGTGTGTGGCTCTGGTGGGGGTGGGGAGCTATATAAAATCCTGAGTGACCTTCTTATGTATCTGCAAGAAGGTTACTATTAAAGCAACAACAACAACAGTAAAGTGATTTAAAATGAGCCAACTACTATCATTTTGCTAAATGGACATAGTAGTAAACTGCCCTCTTAACTTCCTATCTCTAGGCTCACATATTCCTTCTGTTCCCAGATCTCATCAGAGAAGTCTATGTGTGCAGTAGATGGTAGGTTAACATAAGAAACTCACAGCTGCTAAAAAGGCAGACAATAAATGTCAGGATAGTGCTCAAACACAAATTGGGCATCTGTATTACCATTCCCAAGACTCAGAGACCTCCACTGGAGAGATGACAGAAAGATTGGAGGAATGGTGAGAAATGACCAGAGTAAAATATTTCTTCAGGACTATTGTACTCATAGCACCTGTGGCTGCCTACAGAAGACCTGCATAAAATAAAGACAGTCAACAGTGTATCATGGAATAAGAAGGAGTTCATATGCCTCTGCCATTAATAGAGGAACTATGGATAGCTGATATTTTTGTGGGAGAGGGATAGTCAGTTTTCTCTGAGGGTGTGGCTCTTGATAGGTATACCGAGCTCAGTGGACGAATGGCCCACACCCAGGAGTTTATTGGCAACATAAATTAGACTGGATGAACTATTTCAAAAAGAGAAAATTAAGTTGGGGGGGGTAGGAAAGTGGTAGAGCATATGTAGGGAATTTGGGAAGCAGTAGGAGGCTAATGTTATCAAAATATATTGTCTGAATTTCGAGAGAAATTTTAAAAAGTATTTTAAAACATGCTAGGCTTCCTCTATCTTCTAGGGAATATTTTGATATCCGGATTTTGGTTGGGATTGGCTTAAAGCTTTCTCACCAAATGTGCGTGTGTGTTTGCTCTCTCTCTCTCTCTCTCTCTCTCTCTCTCTCTCTCTCTCTCTCTCTCTCTCTCTCTCTCATGTTTTACTATACAGCGAACTCTTTCTCTCTCTCACGTTTTACTATACAGTGAATCCAGGTTTCTTTGAATCCAAACCCTCATTACCTTTTACTTTCTATATACTCTAAAAAGTCAAATAAGTTCAAGGACAAATGTCAAAATGTCATCTGAGAAATGTGAAAAGGAGATTATTGTTCCATCAGCATGTCTGGGTTTCTTGTGTCTTTACTTATTTGTTTGGTTATTTATAGACTAAGACTGAGGTTACTTTTAAGGCAATATGAATTTTATTTTTAAGGCCCAGATGGATCACATTAATAATGGCCTTCATTACCTAAGGTGTTTTCAGAGGGATATATTTATAGAGCATCTTCATCCTCCAAGAACTTGTTACTTTTTCGTTGAGAAACATAAAGGGATAAAGAAGGAACATAAATTCCCTGACATTTCCTTATTTAAATTCTACATGTCTTTTCAACTTAAAGAGTTCAACATCATATGAATTTCTTACTTCAATTTATTTTTTAATACCAATCTAAGCGCTCTAGCCATGTGTACTCTCTTCACTTCAGGGAAGGATTATGTCTCTGTAATATTTACTTATTCCTCTTTACTCTTTTTGTGAGAAACATTCTCAAATGACCTTCAATCTTGCTGTCACACTGAAAAATTACTTTCACAGGACAGCAAGTTTCCAAACGTATCCCAACCATAACAGATTTATATGGTTCTCTGAGCTGTCTTTGTGTCGCACAGCCTGTACCCTCCATTTATGTCCTTCCGTGTGATCTGCAGAGTGCCTCCTAGTCACCATTGTTTAAAACAGAATGCAGTATAATTCTCTTTTAAATAAATTTTCCATTTTAAAAATAGGTGATTTAAAACCCACAACTATATTTGCATTATGACATATATGTCGCAGGAATTAAAAGCTAATGGTATAGAAAAGTGTAATGAAAGAATTAAAAACAATAAAAATTAGGGATGACCTAAGTATAAAAAATTCTTACTGATAGCCATTTCATAAGAAAAATATTTCCTATATTCTGAATTTTTATTAGAGGGTAAAATTGCTTGTGTGTATATGTGCTGATTTAAGCATCTGTAGTTTGACTAATAAAAATTAAACATCATTTCTGGATTTCTTCCGAAAAACTTCTAGAAATTCCCAATGAGTACCGGTTAACTGGTGTGACCAAAATGATGTTTATTTGATGTATTATTGTACAATACAAATAAACAATGGAAAAATATCACTGAACTCTCATGACCACTGATGCACACTGCGTGAATTAATGGAAACGTGCCTGATTCAGAGCTTGCCATATATCTGAAAGGGTAACAGAGAAACAGGAAGAATGTTTATGACACCCTGCCTTTGGAAATCTGCAATGCATTGGAGACATATCTATGTGGGTCTTGCTGCCATCACTGCTACCATCACTCACACCTACCAACTATGATCTGAAAGGGCAGACTGGAGAGCATTGATGCAAGAAAGTGGCTGCGGGCCAAGCCATCGTGTGCACAGTGTTCTCCACATCCTTACCTCCTGTGTTCACTAGGACTGAAGAACTGAGTATAACTTTCACTGGTCTCTTCAACCAATGAAATGTTTGTTCATTTGTTTGTTTGTTTGTTTAATGTATGTGAGTACACTGTTGCTGTCTTCAGACACACCAGAAGAGGGCATCAGATCCCCATTACAGATGGTTTTGAGCCATGATGTGGTTGCTGGGAATTGAACTGAGGACCTCTGGAAGAGCAGTCAGTGCTCTTAATCACTGAGCCATCTCTCCAGCCCTGTGAAATGGCCTTATGATGTCCCTCTCTCAATTCCTGTTTTGAAGCAAAGCATTCTATCTTACTATACCTCAATAGGTCTCTGACAAAAGTCACAATGTATACAGTGATGTGTACTTCCCTCTTTGGCTTTCTTACATTTTTACCCCTTCAAAGAAAAATTATAGGGTAGACAGGGTAACTTGAAATTCATAGAATTTGGCAAAATATTCACCAGGGTTTTTCATATTATATCACATAAAGATATGAATGTTCCCTGGGTGAAATTACAGGGATAAGACTACCTTATATGGAGTTTTGTGAGCAAAAAAAATTATGGTATACAATATTGAGGAAAAGAGTATTTAATTTTGTGGAAACATTATATAATGTTCCTCAATGGAGTTTCAATAATTGGACATCACTCAATAGAGTTGCCAGCTGGGAGGCAAGACCATAAATACGCTCCAACATTTTCAGGAGATTATTAGCTTCTCCATGAGGTTTCACGCTTTGACTATGCATAATTTCTTACCAACATACTTTAATCATAATCTTTTCAAAACCTTGTTAGGTTCTATTGATGAGACCTTTTTTCCCCCAAACTAGATGATCAGAAATGTTCACGCTCATCTTTCATAGTCTTAGAAATTTTACAGTTAGTTACAGGTTTTGCTACAAAGGTAATTTGAAGCTTTCAGCCATAATGCAAAATAACATTGCTAACTCAACCTTAACTTCTCTTCCTTTCTTTGTTTTGGTTTTTCTTTTTAGATAGGGTCTCATGTAGCCCAGACTGGCCTGAAAATTCACTACATAGCTTAGGCTTGCCTTGGACACTACTCCTTCAGTCTCCATCTTCACAGTGGTGAGATGACAGGTCCCATCATAACCATACATCTTAAACAAAATATTTCAAAAAAGAAAGTGTGGCTCTCAAGCTGAGTTGGCATGCACTGCTAAAGCAGCTGTTTAGGTCGGCCTTGTGAGAGACAAAGGCCATCAACAACTTACAATGTAAAATGAGAAGAAATGTGCAGAGTTGCTTGGGACTGAACCTCCCATCAGCCCCTGCCCAGCCACCCCAACCCTTTCCCCCTCCGGCCGGCCGCACCTTGGGCTGCAATCTGTGCTCCTGGGGCGCCTGGTCCACGAACTCCTCTGGCAGCTCCACGTGGCCCTTGTCCTCGATGAGCAGTAGAGCGCTCTGCAGCTGGCTGCTGGAGAAGATGTCTGGGAGGGAGAGCGCCTCCTGGGCTGCGCTCAGCGTGTCGCAGTGGAGCAGCAATGGCTGGATGTCTCTCATTGTGTTTGCCACCTGCGGGGACCGCAGGGCGCACCATCAGACCCCTGCTTACTCAGGCCTCAGAGGAGCCCAGTAAAAGCCATCCCCAAGACTGGCCTCTACTGCAGACTCAGGCTTAGGACCAGCCACCCCAAGCCCCACTCAGACAAACCTAGGGCTGAGCAGTGAATTCTTCTGTCCTGTTGATTACAAACACTATCTTCATTACAAAAAAAATACTTCTCAGCCGGTTCCTCACATGATCAGAAAATTAAACATAATTACAGAAACTGAATAAGCTAGTAACCTACAAAATACAAATGTCCTCTATATTTTAATAGTCTCACAGCATTGGGACACATATTATGGGCACTAGCTACCCAAGTGTGAAGTTAGGCATTCTCTATCACCCTCAGTTTTTTACTTAGAAAAGCTTGACAACATAAAGGGGTTTTATTGTTTTGCTGTTTAATCTTGTTTTGTGCTGGTGCAGAGTTAAATGACTGTTTTGTATTTATTTATATGTTTTCTGGTCATTATGCTAACATTTCTGAAAGGTACTGTATTAGGAGCTGTGACAGACATTAATGTGAAAAGATATACACACATTTTTGCCACTTATATACACAGTGATTTATACTGACAAATGTTGCATATTACATAAATGAATAAATATGGAAGACCAGGACAACAATGATAAAAAAATTATACACATATGATATTTAAAAAAATCGACATAACAATCATATATTATATGCTATGAAAAGTAAAACACAGAGCTACCTAAGTACATGACTTCATTATGGTGAATTGATAAACAAGACGCATAATTCTCTACACTAACTGTAATTACTGTACTTAATAAGAAAGATAATGAAATCCACCTGTCAATAGAAAGCAAATGATTTACAGAGCAAAACACCATTCTCTATATATACATTTTTAACCAATACAGGTTCATCTTTAAAGACATATTATTATTCTATATGGCTGACATTGAACAGTGAAGAAAAAACTTTGAAATTCAATGAAGAAAAAAACACTTTGTAGTAATCATCCAATATAAAATTATATAGCAGTATTCTAATACCTTGATATGTGTTACTTGTAAGTTGAGAATAGTGTCCTGTGACTACAACACATAAACTGACACAACCTTTACAGAGAAAAATAAAGTAGTATTAAGAATTAAGAAAGTCCACCTGATGGAAAATTCTAAATATTATGCCTGTAACACTGATATAAAATAATGATTTTCATTTAAAACAGCAAAATATACCACTATTAAAATATATACCAAGACAGTTCAAACAGCATCTTGATCAGCTACACAAATGGAAAGTGTCAAAAAACATGTTTCAATTTCTTTAAGAAACTATGAAAATAAAAATCTCTGCATAATTGCTCCCTGGCATGTTTTACTACATTGACGTGTTTTCTAAATCTGACTTCACAAGCCCTTCTCTTTACCCCCAGTGATAATGAAACCAACTCTGTATATTTTGTGGAATTATCTACAAATACATGTTCCTGAACGTCTTTACAACCACTCTGTGTCGAGAGAACAGTGAAAGTGTGCTCTATAATATGCTATGCTACAAGCTTCTGTTATAATGAAGGCGGAAGATTTTGTGTTCCTTACCAAGTTAACATACAAGCTCATTTGAAATGACTGGAATGTGCACTTGTTTGATTTTATTCATTCGGCATGTAAATATGACGTTTTTGTAACAGGTTGGCTCCTTTTTGACGTTAATGTATAGGAGAGTATGGTGGACCAAGCAGACTTCAAGGGTATGTAGGTGAACCATTAAGGCACACACACCAAGAAGAAAAAGAGATGCCATATAGATATGGCCAGTCCTCAGAAAATATAAATGCAATAAACTAGAAAAGCTATATTAGAAGCTTTAAGAAAGACATTCATGGGGGTAAAACTCCAAGCGAGATTTTAAAAAATAAGATCTGAGCTTACAACAACAATAAAACCATACCAACATATGACAAAAGTCATACAGATCAGAAGTAAAAAGGACTTGGCCTATGGCAGAAGTCTCCTGTGTGGAACTGCCTTGAACTGTTCAGGAGATAGCTCAGCTCCCTCGGGATTTGTAGAAGTCAAGGAGATTGTTTCCCTATGCTAGAGGGTAATCAAACACCAGCTGCGGAGCTCTGTATAGCACAGTCATATGTAAAGTTTCTGTCTAGGATAAATTATTGGGAGGAATGAAAATGACATGACAGGGAGAGATACGAAACAAACAAACAAAAGCCAAAGATTTCCTCTGAAGTAGAGATCAAACAGTCACACGCGCGCACACACAAATACCCCCGCTATTCTACAGCCAACAGAGATGGAGAACTCTCTGTTAATCACAGGTGTTAAAATGCACGTGTGATAGACTCAGCATCAGGTGACAAATCTGATTGTGTCCAGATCTACATAAACATCCTCTCTATACGAACTACAAAGAATTCAGTCCAGAGCTAAGCAAGAAGAAGCAATCAGGGTTCACACAGGAGCCCATGCGCCTGAGGGAAGAGTGTGATCTAACGGAGAGAACAACAACAAAAAAGAGAAAGTAACAGGAAGTTAAAATGGTATGACTCTTAAGCTGGAGGAAATGGGACTCTGGTATACTTGACGCAATATAGTTCACACTTACTTAAATTCATCACTCTTCAGAGTCATCTTAGAGTGGCAGCAATAGCCCCAATTTTAACTTTCATCTTAAAAAAAAGAAATATTGCACATACTACGCTTAAGGTATTGTAGAACATCGAAGGCTATACACACTTCAGGTATAACTATACATCCAATTTGTGCTCCTCAGAACTACTGCACAATCTAATCATCAAACCAACCACCACAGTTAAAGGTCTCTAGAATCTTATACATAGGAAAATTCCTTAACTCACATGCTAGTAATAACCCTTGCTAAAAACCCACCAGCATTAATAGGTTGAAGCTGTAATTAGATGCTTACACTGTCTCTGGGGCACATTCTCATTTGAAGCAGAGAGTTTCCCTGACAAGTAAGGTGATACCTATACTGGACTGGACTCTACTCACTTGTGCAAGTTCTACATAGAGCTTTAAAACACACACACACACACACACACACACACACAAACTAGTTGAAGCAAAGTGGTCTTTGGTACTTGGAGACATGCTTCACATTCTTGGTGTGTTTTTAATTTTTTTCCCCTCTGGAATCTTAAAGAGAACAGGTACTTTTTCTAAGTCTCGATGAAAAATGCCGCCAACATGTGGCACGAACAGGTTTCTATCTTAGCAACCTTCTCTTTTAGCCTTCCCTCTTCTAAATACACATGTGAGACTATAGTTTCTGATGCTTGCATATAAAATTTCAAGATGGCTATCAGATAATATTGCTTCTAGAAGAGGTGATAAGGAAAAGTAAGTGAAGTGTTTGTCTTTGTTTTTGTTTTACCACCACAGAAACATGAATTTCATTCTACTTATTAAAGCGACACATATCTGATGAGTAGTTATTGGTTTAAAATAGTACATCTGTGGTTTTCAAGTTTGAACTGCTTAAGTCATGAATGATATTTAGTATTCATTATAAATCACCAATTTCTTGTTTTATCTCTATTATTTGTCATTTCTTAGGTGAAATGATTGGTTTTTTTTTTTTTTTAGTGCTTTCACCACTAAGGAACTTGCCTTCTGCCTTCCTAGTGGATCACCTCCAGACACTGGATAGAGGAGATATGAAAATTATTAGTATGTAGCATACTGAATTGATGAAATTATACATGCCATGTCTGTGTTTAGCCTGTCAATCGAAGGATGACTTCCTAAGACAGTTTCATGGGGCTGTTTGCATGTGGACAGAAATCAAAAGAAACAAAAGAAAATTATAAGTAAGTATTAAAGAAATAAATTGCTTTTGAAAGTGGTGCTGGCATTTCATATTACATGGAGACTATACAATTGAAGTAAGCACGAGAGGGAAATGTGGTGTACAATTGTGTCATGCTAGCAACTGAGAGAAGAAATCAGGAAGGTCATGACTTCATGATCAGATCAGATTACATGGAAAGGATCTTTTCCAAAATAATTAGAAAGAGGGGAATGAAAAAGGAAGGAAGCATGATCAGTGGGAAAGATGGACAGGAAATATGAGAATTCAGTGTAATACATGTTCACACATCAGCAATGACTTGTGAGATACATGCAAGCAACGCAATGCACAAAGAGCAGTTTGTAGTATACATGTAGGAATATGTACGTATATACAAATGCATATGTGCATGTAACAACCATTAGTGAAAACTCTCTGCCATGAGCTTGAAAAAGAATACAGAAGTATGTCTGGGAGGGTATGTTGTGAGGAAACGAGAGGAGTGTGTATGTGTGATATAATTATGACTCCAAAAATAAAACAAATAAAAAATTTTGAACAGATATCCATTGTTTCCAAAGAAGTGCGATCATTTCAGCTTTTTTTTCCTTCTCGGTATAGCTAATTACTTAGTTGCTTCTTCTAAACAAATTTTGATCTTTAACATGAGCTTGCAGCCCAAATAAAACAATAGGCTGTACTGCAACGGTTATGATACTTCTGAGAGGACTTCAAAGGCTTTAAGATATGAGAGACTCCCAGAGCTCAGGGTGAACCAGCTTTCCAAAACTAAGGATACCTCGTGAGTCGTTTGCTTCTGGCTGTACTTTATAGTGTCCTTTTATTCATTAATTATGAGTCATATAGAATTTATAGTGTATGCTAATACAGCTATCATGGCAACCTGTATACTCTTTGTCCCTCATCACCGTCTCCTGGAAGTACCACGTATGAACTCTCTACCCCTCTAACCCTTTCTTCAAACTATCTGCTTATAGGAAATCTGCCTACTCGTCAAACTTCTCATTGCATACTGGTTTCCAGTTTCAGTTTTCCCACAAATCCTCCAGGTGTTCACTATGTATCTTAAAGCATCATCAAAAGTCCTCATATTTTCTCCTACTTTCTTCTAAAATTTCCTTTCATCATGTAATAATTAGA